GGCCCCCTGCTCCCAGACGACCAGCTGGGGGTGTCCCTGATTCCCCCACATACCAGGCCTGTCTTCACCGACCTTGGCCTTCTGCCTGCTCCAATTTCCAAAGCACTCAAAGCTGCTTTCTCCTCTTCACCTCTTCACATCCTCTAGTAATAGTGACTATTTTTTAATAAGTTGTGAAAAGAAAAGTACATATTCTGTACCTTAATGAATGCCAAAACCTATAAATTAAATTTCCTAAGTGTATATCTTATTTTCATATTGTCTGAATAATTTTATTACTAGCTATCGACATTTGACCAGTGCTCAGTATTTTGAAGAATAAACAAATCTACTCCTTAATTGGACTTAATTGTAGATGACATCACTCTAACAAACACACTCATGGCACTTACTTTGTGACAAGGAGCATTGAAAGTGTCAGCCTTCAAACAATTCTACAGGGTGAATACTACTATCATTACCATTTTATAGACGGGGAAACTAAGGCACAGAGAGGTTAGGTAGCTTACCCAAGGTCACACAACAGACAGAAGTGGTGAATTAAACCCAGGCAGGAGGGTTCCAGAGTCATGGCTCTTAACCACTCTGTCTCTCATGTGATTGAAAAGTAATAAGAATGAGATTTTATTGTAATTGCATTATCACTATTTTAAGCTTTGAATGTTTGCCCTCTCTTCCAACAAAAGCCAGACCATACATAATATAGTTTAACTCAAAATGGGTTACTTATCATAGCATTATTTATGAATCTGAAAATCTTCAGGTAACTCCACTTAAGCAAAATACATGAAAGTTAGGCAAAAGAAGTAGGTAAGTCCCTGTCAAAGAGCTATTGCCTTTAAAAAACAGTATCTGCTCTATTTCAAAGGCTCACAGAACCTCAGGGCTGGAAGGATAGAACATTAAAATCACCTGCAAAGCCCTTCCTCCCACCTCTACCCAACCACAGCCCCTCCTTCAGCCAACACACATACACCTAATGATTTCATTTCCTCTCAGGTCACCACAGCAGCACCCATGCCCCCTCTCTTTGAACACTGTGTATGTCAGGAACTCATCAGCCATTGTTTTTCTTTTAATATATTTTTATTGATTTCAGAGAGGAAGATAGAGGGAGAAAGAGATAGAAACATCAATGATGAGATAGAATCATTGATTGGCTGCCTCCTGCTCGCCCCACACTAGGGATAGAGCCGACAATCACGGCAGGTGCCCCCACCAGGAATCGAACCGTGACCTCCTGGTTCATAGGTAGACACTAAACCACTGAGCCACACCAACCGGGCTCATCAGCCATTCTTCAAGTGCTTTATAAGTTAGGTGAATAAAAAGTAACTGGCACTTTTTCCAAGACTTTCTTATTAAGTTAAAAACAAAACAAAGGCTTAGCATCACTCAGTCAACCAAGGAATTCTTCTTAAAATAACTTTTCCACTGCAGTCAATCAGGTGAGTTGGAAGGAGTATGAGTAAAGTAACACAGAACAGAAGCTGCTGGAGTCACCCCAAACCGGCTGGACAACGGTGAGGACAGATTCCAGGAATGCAGGGCAGCCATCTTTCTGCATCTCTAAGTTCTAATCATAGGAAGAAAAGTCAACAGAAAATTCCCTGAGGAGAAAATCAATGATGCCTCTTGGAAAGGGATGAGACAGACAGAAAGAGAGCCAGAGAGCTAATTAGTGCTACTCAGAAGACAAATTGAGGCCTTCTCTTTGACAAGCAGAAAATAGCTGGTTAAGTAAGAGCTTCTGCCGCCCCTCTCTGGCCTCCAACAGATGGCCAACGGGCTGGTGCAGGTACTCACACAGGAATTTGTAGACAGGCACACACAGTCCTGCACTGTTGGACAAAGTATAAATGACAAAAAGGCAGAAAGGGGGAAAATCAAAATTGAGATGGACAAGAAATGAATCACGTAGTAGTTTATTTAAAGGAAGCAATTAAACTCATCCATTCAATAAATATTTATCCAACACCTGCTGAGCAATAAGAACAGGATTCGGGGATTCAAATGATAAGGTGCAATTTCTGTCTTCAAAGGAGCTACAAACTTAGCAGGGAATAATGATACTTAGAAAAGCTAACTCTACACAAGGCACTGCACTGAGTCCTTTGCCTAAACTAACTCATTCAATTCTCCTAACAAACCCCTCTAAGGTAAGTATTACCATTCCCCCATTTTAGAGATGAATATGCTGAGCCTCCAAAGGTTTACATAACATGCCCAAGATCAACTAGACCAGTGGTCGGCAAACTCATTAGTCAACAGAGCCAAATATCAACAGTACAACGATTGAAATTTCTTTTGAGAGCCAAATTTTTTAAACTTAAACTATATAGGTAGGTACATTGTTATTAACTTAATTAGGGTACTCCTAAGGCTTAGGAAGAGCCACACTCAAGGGGCCAAAGAGCCGCATGTGGCTCGCGAGCCGCAATTTGCCGACCACGGAACTAGACAATGCCAGGTCCAAACTCTACTTTAATTCCCAGAACAGGAAACCCCAATTCAGTCCTAACACAGCTGTTGAAAGCACCATCTGAGGACAGGGTAGGATCAACCACCTGTCACAGAAAGTGGACACTTCTGAGCTCAGTCCCAAAGAGGACTTTGCCTGGAGAACAAGCCAGAGATGAATTATGAGAGTACGACGTGCAAACATAATCTGGGGTTTTTATTTCTTTAATCTTTTTCATTGCATTGGTTTGTTATGCCTTGTGAGAGGCATAACATTCCAACCAGTTCAAACAACGCCAAGAGTTCAAATAGCTCCAATCCGTCCAGGCAATTTGAAATTAGTCCATTATTATAGTTACTTCAAGCAAATTAAATTTCAAAGGGGAAAAATAAGCCTAGTAGCTTAGATTCTGTTTTCCTCCTTACCTTCCTTTTTCAGTTAGCCACTGTAAGAAAAGCCCAAACACTGTCTTTGAATTGTGGTAACTATTATCCTGAAACTGCAATTACAGGATCTCAGAAAAAATAATTAGGATCAGTATCACCAATACAAACCCACGTAAGAAAGCAAATGTCATAGCCAGCATGTAGGCAATGGTCCTTCCAGATGCTCCCTGTCTCACAGAGTGAGTGACTAAGCCCACTTCAAGGATACCTCAGGGCTGAACAGGGAATGTGGATCCCAGGTGCCAGCCCAGAAGGCCACGGATGGTGCAGCCAGCCTGGGCCCTCACTAGGAGTCCTCATTTTCTCAGATTAGAAAGGGAAGTGTTCCAAAAAGCTAGCTCTAGTCTGAATTAGTTTGGCCCAATGCTGCCGTGGCCACAGAAGAACTGAATGCCAGCAAAGCTCCCTTCAACTTCTCCATCCCCTGATTCCACAGGACCCATAGCTGCCAAACTTCCATGTAGAAATCAAGCCTCTAACAGATCAATTAGAGCAGATTAAGTACTCTGGACAGTGGTTCAAGTGCAATCTTGCCTGGTATGTATCCTGATTAAGGAAGTCTACACTTAGCCAAGCCCTAAGTGATTATTGAGGAAGGAAACATTAAATTAGAACCAAGGTTTTCATCTGATCCTAAAGTCTAAATGTCAGAGGAAAACATAAAATAAATAAAATTGATTTACATAGAAGGAGGATGCATACTTATATTCAGAAGAAAACTTCCCTATACACTAGTGATTTCCCTGCAAGGAAGAACAATGTCTATGCTAGCCTACTTGGCTTTCAACATCCCAACTGTCTTTCTTATAATCACGTAAACTTGCTTTGCAGAACAAAATACCAAATGGAGATGCTATGCTCTCATCATCACCCTATAAAAAACAATAGACCTTTTTTAGCCCTAGCTGTCTCACCTAAGAAGTCTAATACTCCTTGCTGCTACTCTTATCTTGTACCAAAAACTCCCAGTAAGAAGGAGGGGGGGTCTGGTCTCACCACCCCTGGTTTATAAGTAGAGACAGGGACACACAGGCATCGACACCTCATAAGTAATGGTAACTGCCCAAGCCTCCTTCAAACAAAATCATGCTTCATCATTTCCTCTGCGCTGCGCCAGGAGACTCGGACAGGCCAGCTCTTCACCGGATCTAGGGTCACCTACACAATACCTGTGTAAGTTTTACTAAAAAGCAGATAAAACTCTAAGACTGGTATCTTCATAGAGGTGGCAGGTGTCATGTAGGTGGTTTTGTTCTCAGAAGCAAAACCAATCTATTTTCTGATGATCATGAATGTATCATCATTTTTATTTCTCAAATAACAGAGGAGTTCCTTAATATTATATAGCCAAAGGGGCACAGATGAAAGAGTAAAGTATACAAAATATTATATATAATCACCTGTAGTATATTACAGAAGAGCATGTAGATTATAATGCACACACACAAGTACACACATGGAGAGAGTTCAAACCAGAAATGAATGTTTAGGGAAGCATGATGTGGTTTTAAAACAAAGTCATTTAGCATCAAATCTGGGTTTAAACTCTGCCTCCTACCCAAGCTCTAAGCCTCAGGCTCGTTATCTATAAAATAGAAACAACCATAAGCATAGCACAGGACTGTCATGAAGAGTAAATAAGAGAGAATATACAATAACACTTAGCACAGTGCCTTGTACACAGAGGATGATATCCATCAGTTACCTCTTCTTCCCCTCCCCTGTGTGCCTCTAAAAGATTTTTTAAAATATATTTTTACTGATTTCAGAGAAGAAGGGAGAGGGAGAGAGAGATAGAAGCATCAATGATGAGAGAGAATCATCGATTGGCTGCCTCCTGCATACCCGCTCCTGGGGATCAAGCCCAAAACCCCAGCATGTGCCCTGACCAGGAATCCACCCATGACCTCCTGGTTCATTGGTCGACACTCAACCACTGAGCCACACTGGCTAGGGCTAAAAGATTTTTTTAATATTACTGACATAAATGGGAATTCTTAGAGTGGTTTTTTAAAAAATCCTACACGTATGTATCTGTTGCAGCACCATAATTTGCAAAGAAAAAGGAAGTAGTAATTTTAAGAAAAAAGGACAAGCTCGCTTGCACTGCCTTCTAAACCTTCAGCTTTACAGTCTACGGAGACTATTTGCTCCAGGGGAGCAGAATCTGAAATAAAGGAAAAATTCTCATGGGAAAAAAATGGTTCCTAAAAAAAAAGCCAAGAAAGAAAAGATAATGAGGGAAAATCGAGGGGTATGTGTAAAGGGGTTTATTTTACTTAACAAAGTAAAAGTCAAGCAAAATGAATAATCTGCCTCCAGAAACGTTTATTTAAAGGCTCTTTGTAAAGGGCTCTGGTTCCTAAAAAGACAGGAGTCACTGCATATGCCCACCCACTCCTCATTTATTTTTAAACCCTAGATTATATGTTTCTTAGCAACAGAAGGAGCAGATGAGACCCCCCCCTACCCACATGCACACGCACACCCTCTCCCAAAGCCCCCTTCTTTCCTGTCAAGTGTCATTCCACAAATACCCATGTTCTCCAGAAAATGTGTTTGAGCAACCTGCAGGTCTCCTCTTCCCCACCTTACATGATCCCCCTTACACAAGCAGCCATGCTGCACCCTCGCACTGAACCCTTTTGCTCAAACTTCATTCCGTGAGGTCTCGCTAACGCCCTCCGTTCTCTCCCACCAGTCGCTGTCCTCAGGCGCCCCAGAAGGGAGGTGGCAGTCCTCCCTGAGGAGCTGGGGCCCAACTCCAGCCGTAGCTGCTCTTTCCTTACAGACCATTCATTACCCCACCAGCGAAACAACCCCACGCGGCCACCTCTGAGGTCTACACAGTGGCTGCCATGGCGAGTGGGCAGGCCACTGACCATGACTCTAAAAATAGTAACAATCATGGAAATGGGACACTGTCCAGATTACCCAGGACAAACATGTGTCAGATGAAATCACCTGCCTTTTCTCAGTCTTTCCCTTGACTTGGGGACTGCCTGGCCTTGTTTGGCTGGGCACGGTTTATGAGTTCAAAGATCAATTGCTTAGCCTTTTTTTTGGGGGGGGGGGCGTTGGGGGGATAGGGCAGCAATACTCAGATATTAGTGTACTGACACACTGCCGGAGGAGCCCGGTAAACATTCCCACCCACGGAGAGTTGGGCTTTGGAAGCCTTGGATGGTGGGAATTGTTAACCAGCCACCTGAGGTGACACTGCTGCCAGCGGGTTGCTGAATCGGAAACCTGACAGCCCTATTGAAAAGGAAATTATGTTCACAAAGTAGGACCTATTTTCTATAGAGGATTCAATCCCTCCGTAGAAAAACGCCGCGTCTGGGCCCACGTCCGTGTTTGTGTGTGTGCACACTCACACATGCACCTGTGACCATGTGGCCCAGCAAGTGTGGCCCCGCACAGGACCAGTTCCCAGGAGAGAATGGCCCCTGCCAAGAGGCAAGCTGAAATGATTTCCCTTGCAAACTCTGGCTTCGTAGCCCTACCCAGTGAGGAGTCTGATGGAAGCCAATATCACAGGCGCCCAGACCCACGATGTACTTCACGTCACCGCCCACCCCAACTAGATTCCTAAATAGGCTGGATGTAGCCCCTGCTCCCCTAAGGGCCAGACAGGCCACCATAACTAGGAAGGAGAACTGCCTGTGCCCCAGCAGGTCTCCAGAGAGCTACTCCACTCTCCATGACCCGTCTAATTTTAGAAAGAGAAAGATCCATCTGGTCCTGATCTATGTGAGTAGCTAAGAGAGCAAGTCAGGTGGGAACTACCTCAACACACAGCGAACGGAATGCACTCAAGGGACGTGGGAGCAACCACCGCACCAGGAAGATTGTTTCAGAGTCATCAGAAGCCACCGCTTCGACACAGAGCCCATGCCCTAGGGACCGGGGCCTCCAGGCCAGGCAATGCCAACGGGGATCCCAGTGATTCACACACGTAGCCCATCAATACAACACACACCCGCGCAAACCCACACGCCTCTATCATCTGCGTTTGCTTACATAACAGCACATGGTGTGCCAGGCTGAACACTTTCTCCGGGTTTCTGGAAAGGACGCTACCTCCAAAGGAGTAAGGTCAGGAGGCTGCTTTCACTGACCCCATTTCAAGATACCCTCTGAGCCCTAGCAAGTACAAATCTTTGAAATTCTGTGCTTATCACCTTGGCTTTTGAAATGAATAAGCAGGAAGGGCAGTCTCTGAAACCCTCCAAACCTCTCATATCTTTATTCCTGCCTGGTGCCTGGAGGGGGGCGAGGGCGGGGTACAGAGAACCTATTGAGTCTTCGTTTCTCGTTTCTGGATCCGACACAATGTGGGGCACTCATTCATCATAACGCGGTGGCCGTTTACCCCACAACGTCCTTGTCTCTCACACACATCCATCCTCGGGGGCAAGCACTGTCCCACTCTCGGCCGCACCCCTCGCTTGCCAACAGGCTC